TTTGACGAAATTGCGCCAAAGAGCATGTCTTAACAGGAATTGACGTCATGCACACTTAGCCATTGAACACAAGGCAGTGGTGCCCATACAACCCACAGTGTAAGGCCTACCAAACAGGTTTGAACTGAAATATACAGCACGAGGATAATAGCCTAAAAGAGTACAGTGGGGCCCACACAACGCACGATGACAGGCCTATCTAGTAGTTCTTATCTGAAATATAATAGCCTCATTGAATAAAGTAAGGCCAACATAACCCACGGTGACAGGCCTATCTAGTAGTTCTTACCAGAAAACTAAAGCACGGTGATATCCTCAAGGAATACAGTGAGACCAACACAACCCACGATGATAGGCCTATGCAGTAGTTCCTATCTGCAAATCTGAATATAAAACACGGCGATAGCCTGGGGCTCACACAACCCACGGTGATAGGCCCATCTAGTATGTCTGAACTCGACTATAAAGCACGGTGATAGCCTCTAGGCATACAGTTAGGCCCAGGCAACCCATGGGGATAGGCTGATCTAGTAGTTCTTATCTGAAATATAAATTAAGGTGTTATACTCCAGGTATACAGTAGGCAGACTCAAGTCACGGTGATAGGCCCATCTAGTAGGTCTGAACTCGAATATAAAGAACGGTGATAGCTTCAATGCATACATACAGCTTTATGCTTTCATTTTGTTTTATTTATGATTAAACATATATTTGATCATCACTCTTGTAAAATTGTTTGTATACATACCTTTAAACTGTTCATAAAATACGTACTGTTTAAATGGGTTAACTTTATTAGAAATAGTTAGTTTGATTGAGTCTGTACATGAGGGATAATGAAAAGGTGCAACATCTCACACGCCCCCTAGTACCGTCTTGAGCGGTACTCAATTTTCAAAACTTAAAAGTGTTGCAATCAATGATCTCAAAAGACCAGAAAAATATAACAACACTGAAGTGAAGTACAGGGCAACTTTTTACAGTTGTGAAGTATAAAAATCTGGTCTGTGCAACGAAATTGCCCATTTATATCACTTACATTAAAAATGGAAATACGTTTTACATATTATTGGCTTCAAACTGGCTATAAAGACTATTTTGTAACCTGATTAAATTGATAATTATAGCTTTTAAACAAAGCAACATTTGTTTTGCTCCTGAAGCAGATAAATTATCGGTTTTTTTCCCATGCAATTTTCGTTACACCCTATAATATTTACATGAATCTAATCTAAAAAATTGAGTTGTATTCTTTTTAATCCATGAAAATTTAATAAAGCAAAAAGGAAATAAACACATCTGAAAATGATACAGTTTTAATCAACAACTTACATATTTTAAAGTTTTTCTATGGGTGTTTCACATTTTTTTAATTTTGTTCAGATATTTGAAGTTCATAATTTAAAACAAAATGTAGCCAAATGTATTTTAGCGTGTGTGTGTGTCACAAATGTGATAGGCACTAATGCTTTTATTCTAGCTGAAGATTTTCATGTTTACATAATCGACTGGAAAAGTATGAAAGAAACGGTTATCTTTATTATGTGGCCTCGGTAATTTTTTAAGGGTTCCTTAGTTTACAATTTGTCGGAGATAATAAAACAACAGCAGTGTGACCTTGCCAGGTATATGGTTTCTCCTTGTGACTGGAATATAATAAACTTGAACGGCATGTTAAAATTTTGCTTTCGTCTACTAAAACGACCAATATCCTTCATAATAATGATTATAACTAGAAAATATGTTAACGTGTAACTCGTCATGCTATAATTATATTTACGTATATCAACCTGTAGGGAAGACAACCAAATGAATTGAATTTATAATTAGGGGTATGTGGAATTCCCAAAGAGTGTAGTTTAATATTAAGCGTACATTGTGTATATCATATATATTATTTTCGGCTCTGATACTGTACTGAAATTTACCTTATAAGGTTATAAAATATTTGAAAAAATTAAATTAGTATTTCGGCTTTTGGTATTACATTTTATTTTCTTATATTTAAACTCTACTTAATATATTATAAACTGTTATAAACTTATAAGTAAGTGGTGTGATAAGTTTGACATGAAACTATGAGAAACTATATTCATTATCACTCGTATTCTATCACAGAAAGTCTGTCATTTAAAGTCTTGACATGTCGGAACGAAGCGATAAGCCTTTGGTTCCTGTGGTAGCTCATTGTGTATTTTTACATTGATGTCCCCAAATTTTCAACTGCCTATTCTAAATTCAAAACAATGGCAAACAATTACGTTAAAGTTAAAAATATTTTGTTTTTATTATCTTTTCTCCAGAAACTCCAAATTTAATGTTCAAGAATTTTCTTTATAAATATACAATCATACAATGTTATAATAAAACACAAATATGTATATGGATAACTTAAGATTCTATTATTCCTGGTATTATTTCAACAATAATTTATCTCATATTTCTTAAGAGAAACGTGATATAAATGGCAATTTACAGGCGGAAATTGATAGTTTGACAGTATTTCCGACAGTACGTGTGGTAATGTTTTCTCATAAATGTCACGCTGTCTTTTGTTTATTGTATTAGAATTGAAACTATGTTTACGCTTAGTAATTCATTTGGACAGATTAACGATCATGTTATTCTCGTGTGTAGAATATAATTTGAAAAAGAATATAATTAAAGTTTATTTTCTACAAGATCGTCAAAAGTTCTGTGGGTTTTTCTCTTGATATAACAAATAATATGTTTCTCTGAAAGTAATTTGCTTTAATTTTTAATGTAAACAATGCCATACTACTTTTAAGGGATTTTTATGTTTCTTTTCCTGTATATGAAAGTTCTTGTCATGCTAATACATTTACATATAATTCACTCTTGAGAGTATTTCGGAATGTTTGCAGGTCAGTGTGCAAAAACTAAAATTCTGCAAAGCAACCAAACATCCACGATATGGTCAAGACCCTGTTAACTTTTTTATTTTATAATCCGGGCTAAATTAACCTAGTAACTGACGCCAAGAATAATTTGAAAAGGAATAGCTTTAGACTTAATATGTAGTATCGATCAAATTTGACTGTACAATAAACAAAAGTATTAAGTAATAAAAAAGAAATTTCATTCATCGTTTTCAAATGTAATAGACGTTTCATTTATACATCTTTAAGATCAATACATATCTGACACCATAAGATGATAAAACGACAAATAAGTAATTTAAATGTTCCTAATTTATTATGTCTAAGATAACAAATAAGTGGCGCTTCACGTAGTACTATAATAAGTCACTTTAAAAACAAAATACAATTATTTTAATGCTTGAGACATAAGAACAAGATAGATAACAATCAAGACACGACTATATAAATAAGAATATTCTCCTCGGAATCGTATGTAAATTGGGTAAAAACGATGCGGATATAATTCCCAAGGCAGGCAAGCAAACCGTAAGTAAATGCAATTACATTATGAATTTCCAAACGGCTTGTTTTGTATCCTGAAGAGGATAAATTTCAATATGCCCCATTATTTTTCCTAAGTGAAATGGGGTTTTTTTTGTTTTGTTTTTTTACCATCCCTAGACATGTTGTTCTAACCATATCTGAAGATATTATACACTTTTTTATTTTTCTGCAATTCAATAAAATGATTATATGACAAGCATCAAATTATTTCTGATCCGGAATGCCATGCTCATTGCGCGGCGAAGACATTACGTGGCAATAATGTAGACATGCAAGAGTGTGACTAAACATGGTATGAGATTCTAAGAAATTCAGTCCTTTTCGTGTTTTGATGAATGTATTTGCTTTCTTAATTATGTAACACTTTACGAGAAAACTAGTCTTATTTCACACTCGGAATAGCACGGTGTATCTCCTATCGAGAGACTGCCTTTCTTGCTTATTACAAACAATACCATTCATTCAGGGGCCATTTTAGAATAGATTAAATGTAATTGTTATCATGTGGAGCAAGCGCATACATTATTTAATATTTTAAAGAATCCTTTAGGCTTTTACAGTTATAAAGAACTCTATTTGTTTCAGTTAAATTAGCAAATAATTTAAGTGGTTTTATCATTTTTCAACAAAAATCAATGATACTTTGTTATACTATTAACTATAAAAACTAGAAAGTAAACATGTTGTATGTAATCAGACGAGACTAAAACGTCAATGGGATTCTCCTGATTGATGAAGAAAGGCCAAAGAGCAATCAGATCATTTGTATGATATTTCACCAATCATTCACATTTACATGGTTTTAGGAAGAAAATGTCGCTGTGTTTTCGTGTTGTTCTTTTACCAATAGTGTTACGCTATGAACGTTTTTTCCAAGTGATTAATACGTATTTTATCTAAGTCAGTCTGTTAGAAGGACCTATATTAGCTATATTGTATGTGCACTTATAGTATGCATTTTAAATGTGTCTTGGAAAAAAATTGTTTGCTTGTTTTTATGTGTGTTTGTTTGTTTGTTTTTTATTTGTTTGTTTATTTGTTTGTTTGTTTGTTTGTTTGTTTGTGTGTTTGGGTTTTACGTCACACCAACAGAGTAGGTGAAAATTGTAATTTGAGCGTATGTTTTACAGTCAGGTTATGAGATATTATCCAACTAGATGTGACCTGACAAATGCCGAAAATTCAAATCAGGGGCGGAAAGTACGGTATCTTTTCTCAAGCGTAAACACGAAATCTTTTTCGCAACTTTGCCCTTTTCCAATACAAAAGTTTGAAAATAATTATCCAACTAACGTTTAATATTTCGTGTTGATTTGAATTAAGCGCTAAATTTGTAAATTCCAAATATCAAATTTCGCATCTTAGAATTTTGGAAATCGAATTAAATCGGAAAATTGGCGAATCATATCGACCTAGCGATTTTCGAATTTCGTGTTTCAGAGAACCCTTTATATTTTAAGACATTAAGCCTTCAATTAACAAATAACGGTAACAATTGAAGTGGTAAAGCGCTCATTTTATTATGTAACGATACATAAAAACAATAAATAACGAACTTTAAAAAAATGAATAAAGAGATCAAATATTCATACGGTCATGTTTTAAACCTCCCGAAAAAATCGACTTTAAATATGAATTGGTCGTTTCGTTTTAGAGGATCTTCTTTCCTCGTCTGCTGCTACGGGTGGCTTTTGAAGATCAACGCGCTCTTCTTTCAAATTTTTCCAAATATCATAATCCTCTACGTCCATATGACTATGTATTCCTACATCTTTGCCTTGTTGTTTTAGCATATTCTCAAGTGTCTCAATGTTTGACTTGGACAATCGAAGGTAACTGCATTGAAGTACCTGAAATGCATCGTGCACGAACTTTGATGATAATAAAATAATAAACCAATATCAGTCGAAACGAAAAGGAATTGTTTAGGGGAGGGTCAACGATAATACTGTTACAACTTTTGGCTTAACCCTTTTTTACACTTGATAAATGGTTTTGTAAATTTGTGAAATTTTATATTGTGTATATTGCTAGTATTAGATTTGTTGCGCCTGACCCGCTAAGAAACTAAGACTTTCAGTGTACTGCGCATGCACATGACATCATTGCATCATTAACGTAGTTTTTGAATCAGACCTCCTGCTTGTAATATGGAAGAGTTTTATATGTTTTAATGATTTAAATTACGCATAAGTGTACATGTACTAAGTGAACTTTTGTAATAGTCTGTCATCATTTGGAAAATCCAATAAGAATTATTGTCTTTAAATAAATACTCGACTGAGAAAAGCTTTGTGTATTAGGAAATGTCTGTGTGTTTAATTAATACTGAAATATTATCAATGCTTGGTAATGAAATAGTACGCGGATTACTTTGTATAGCCTTTGACCGTAAAAATGTTTAAAATTTATTTGTGACAGCATACATAGAATTATTTGACACTTTTTGAAGACTTACTTTCATAGGATCAATGTCGACACTTGTGTCATACGTCGGATTTAACTTTCTCAGTACTTGCTCAAGATGCTCAATACGCTTTTTCTGTGCTCTTTTCTGTGCAACATCAAGACAACCGTATTCCTCAGTAGAACCTTTCCTGTAAGCATAGTGTATATTTATAATATCTACCTAGTTTGCTACCAAAAGCCTTGTGGGCCGATCAAACAAAAGCAAAGTATGTTTCTTTAAAGGTTTTAACTTTGAACGGATGTTTTATAAGGTTGGTACAAAATATAAGCATGTAAAACGTTTAAAGATTAAATTTACTGGCAAGCTATTTTTGAAGAAGTGGATGTATTTTCGAAGTTAGGAGTTTATTTGAACCACTCTCCTAACCGCTTTATTGACCAGTACATGTGATTTACAAGTAAACATCGTTTTTGACCCGAATATGTCTTCGATCCTCAATACTTTGATTAAAGGGAGACACAGGCAAAATTTTCATTTCTTAGTTTTGAATTTTTCATTCATTATTCTGTAAATATCCTCAAAATGAATACACTAGGCAGTCAAAGGAACAAAACTTTTCTCCATATAAAGAATAAAATTGTAGTTTCCTAACTTGACCCGCGTGGGTCAGGTTAGAGCGCTAAGATTTCACAATAGTTGTCACAGTGAACTCTGGAAACGTTAAAGATCATGCCAAAATGAATGACTTAGACTTGTTTTAATCATACAATTACCACAATACTTCAAGGGTTTATTCAAGTCACATGACTTGTTTTATAAGTATTCGGTGATTCTGTTGGCGTCTTAATTTCGTTCAACATACATAGATATATTTACACTTCAAACCCAAAATATGTAGAATTAATACAGAAATTCATGCTTGGACTTTAAGAAGTGTCAATTTAACGTGATTTGAGTACACAAGATCATTTTAATATTTCAGTCATTATATTGCCTGAATATCCCTTTAAAAGACAGACGCCAAAGTCAAAGGACACCTCTACATTTAAAGACACATCATGCAACAGAAAAGATCATTTTTTTCCTTCTTTTTAAATGGCAAAAATGGCATTTATAACATTTGAATATTTGTTTTAGATATGTATGATGTTTATTACCTGAAGAAAGTGGTCCTGAATTGGAAATTATATGTAATACTTATACACTGTAACTGTTGTTATTGCAAAAAAGCAACATAACAAAAGAATACATCAGAATATTGAGCAGTAAGTTTTTTTTGTTTTGTTTTTTTGAAAAATATAACAGGGCACCCAAAATAAAATGCTTTTTTGAGAAAAAAATACCTGAGACATAATGGGCATTCAAATAAAACCTTTTTTGTTACTTTCTAGAATTGATTTCCTATAGTTTGTAACTGGCGTTATAGCGGTGTGTTTCATTATTTTTCAATTCATTCCTAAGCTCACCTTTTTGAATAAACTCTTGCGTCAGTGAGAATTGACTCAAGTTCTTTCAGGGTTGAAAGATCAAACCCGGATCCAGACGATCTATCGAAAGAAGATCCATGCGAAAATCTCCGTTCCTTAGAGAAAAACAACAAGAGAAAGTGATTTAGGAAGCATGCTAAACATACGAAACGAACATTCAAAAGGAATTGATAAGAAAACATACAATTTTGTCATTAAGAAAAAAGTGACGATTTAAAAACTCCGGAAATATAAATCCCAAACATAAAAACATTTTGTACCATGTGAGAAATAAGCATGTACATACATTCAATTTGCAAAATTGCTCACTATAAAGAAAGCACCGCTGAAATAAATGAAAAGGCTATCTGATACACAGTTTGGCAAAGATTTGAGAGAGAAAAAAAGTAATCAAAAAATTGTGTAGACAAGGTCAGAAGCAGGGTCGCTGTAACATGGAACATTGAGTAATATTTATTACGCACAATTTAATTGATTGTAGAAAGCGAATCTCACATAAATATTACAATAGATTTTATTACTTTAAGCTGGTTTGGAAATGGTAAGCATCCTGCCAAAATAGATTCATCGGCTAACTGTACAGTCTGTATGGCCTTATTATACAGTGCTACAAGCCGTGTCTCGTCTTCATCATGATTATTGCCTAAACTTGGAGCCTCATCAATAGATATTCTTGGTAATGTGGACGCATTTGCTGGCATAGAGTGGCGCCTTGCTCGTGACGGAGGTTTTGGAGTTTCAATGTCAGGGACTGGAAGTGAAGCACGTCTCTTTTGAATGAGAGGTTTAGGAAGGGAAGCCGGCATTGAACCGCGCCTTACACGCCCTTGGGATGCTTTTCTTCCAAACAAGTCATCTTCTTTAAAACTAACTGGAAAATATTTTTAATAAGACGTGAATTAGATAATACCTGTTATGCTTTAGACACAACATTCTTTTTTCAAATTGATTTTAGAATTAAATTTAAAAACAATGTATTGAAAACTTCAGAAAAAAACAAACTCATATTTGTTAATTGACACATAAATCTAAAACTAACCTGTCAACATATTACATTTTTTATCATTATTCATGAAATAGTTATTTTAATTTAGATGATATATACAATGTAAAGTGTATATGGTTTTACAAATACGATCGAAATACCTTATGGATTTTTTCAAATGCATCGAAAGTAACCTTTCAAAGTAAAACAAAAATTTTCATTTTAATAAACTTCATAACACTTAATTATTTCATTGGTTAAACTCTTAAGTGATGGTCATATGTCAGAAAATTTCTAAATTCAACACAAAATAAGAAAAGGATGTCCTCTTTGTTCTTCCTTATTCACCGTATGTGTTCAACTGTTCCTAAGAAAATTGCAAAAGATAAAAATATTTAGGGCTTTACAATAAATGATAAAGAAACAAAACAGACACTGTTTGCAGTCATATGTAAATATTAGAAAAATACTCTTTTGAAAATCTTATAAAAGTCACATTAATGAAATCGGAAGTACAATTGGCCTCAAACTTAATACCAGGTATATTTAAATATGTTGTTATGAAAGTTGGAGTCCGTAAAAGTACAAATCTAAAATATATTGTTTTATGATTTTTTCTGGACATCAAACAAGTTAAAACTGTTGACATAACTTTCTATACAGACTCAAAAACGAAAGTGTTAAACTTAGAAAATCTACACTACAAGAATTTAAAAATTGTTTAAAACAGTGGCAATACCGTAAATCAACTTTAATAGGATAAGTCACAGTTAAGACATACGCATTAAAAAAACTGACTTATCAATTTACAGTTCTTGAAAACTAACCTGATCACACTATAAAAGACATAACATCATCATTTTTAATTATTTATGGGATGGATGGTAAATCAGACAAAGTTAGTCGTAAAACTATTGTAAGCAAACACAACGTAAGAGGTTTAAAATCGAAAGATTTAAAGTTCTTTATAGCCTCTATTGAAGCTTGCTGGGTTTCAAAACAAAATGTGCACCGAGAAGCATTTTATGAAAACATATCAAAAGCATTCGGTGGCAAATTTATTTTTGAATGTCATCTAAATTCTTCTTTCGATATCTTAAAAATCTGTAAACACACACATTTTTAAGAGATATTTTAATTCCATGGTTTTCCATAGTTTAATCATCTTAAATTGATGAAACTGAAGCTAGAAAACAACTTTTTGATATTAGTAAAGCGGTCTTTTATAAATTTGAAACAGCAAAACAAATTCTTAATATGTAAACATCTAATATACCTTTGAAGTCTACTAACACAAACACGAACCTTGAAAGTTTCCAATATAAGTTTTTAAAGCGCTTAGTCCCAACAAAATATATTTTTAAATACAATCTGTCATTTAGCAACTTTTGCGATTTTTTGCTCTACGGATATAGAATCAATTGAACATTTAATTTTGAAATGTCAATTAACACAAGTTTTCTGGAACAAAATTCAAACATGGTTATTACATGAAGTACCCCTAAACTTCAGACATATCTGTTTTGGTATAACTTTATCATTATATTGTGAAAATATTTCAAATTTAAAATGAAATATAGCAAAAAAATAGTCCAGTCTTTCCTTAATTTTTGGATTAGAATTGATTGATAAAGACATATCCTGAATACAAGACAATCTACATAATTTTGAAATAAAATGGTCAAGAGTTTTTCCTTTTATAATTTTATATTAAGAAAATTTAGAGAAAGAAAATACACCCACTTTTTACCCACAGGCGTTAGTTACATAATCAAATATTTTACATAATCGGCCTTTATATGTATATTAAGATATCTTATAAGAGTATATAGCCGAAATAAAACATAAAAAGTTTGTTCAAGGACCTGTGCTTTTATCTTTCTTCTTGCAAAACATTTATTCGAAGACCTTGAGATACAAATATGCTTAAAATAATTATATTGAAAATTCTATATATATATGTGTAGTCACCATATATGTAATGATGATATTATGATTCGAATGTTTGGATTAATGATTGAAAAAAAGAAAAAACAACTTCTTAGCCATATAATGAAAACAAACTACAAAGGTAAACACAAACATATAAACAGAGTGTTTAAAGCCAAACCTTTAACGTCAGACGGTGACCTTTCTTGCTCTGAAAGAAACAACATTCAGGCGATCAATAAGCATGTAAGGCTGAGAGGTTTTAGTAGTTAGGGTTGCGTTTGATACAACGTTCCAAGTCCGAAATCAGTCAACATATCGAAATTGTGAACGACTTCAAGCGCGTGCCCTTGCATTTCTCGACTGTTTTCAGGAAGGTGAATTTCATTAACTTTAAGATACAAATATGCTTAAAATAATTATATTGAAAATTCTATACATGTATATATGTGTAATCCCCATATATGTAATGATTATATTATGATTCGAATGTTTGGGTTTATGATTAAAAAAAAAAGAAAAAAACAACTTCTTAGCCATATATTGAAAACAAAGTACAAAGGTTAAACACAAACATATAAACAGAGTATTTAAAGCCAAACCTTTAACGTCAGACGGTGACCTTTCTTGCTCTGAAAGAAACAACATTCAGGCGGTTAATAAGCATGTAAGGCTGAGGTTTTAGTAGTTAGGGTTGCGTTTCATAGAACGTTCCAAGTCCGAAATCAGTTTATATATCGAAATTGTAAACGACTTCAAGCGCGTGCCCTTGTATTTCTCGACTGTTCTCAGGAAGGTGAATTTCATTAAAGTTTATTTTAAGTATTTGACAACAGATGAAACATATCTATTGAAACGGTCTTTTAAAAAGTTAGTCTTATGTTATAGTGCTTATTAGGGTACACTTAGGACTTTCTATTAAACGCAGCCCTGGTCAGTTACGATTTAATATGTAATATCTTACCTACAAAAACTTAGTAATATGTTTGATTAATTTTTTAAAAACTGCAAGTAAAAAGTCAAAAACTATAAACATTTACATATAACCTTTGCTAGGTTTCTCACTGCCGTCAATACACTGTGGCAGTCGTGCAACATTCTTTACAATCTCTATAGAGCTGGCTTTACGTGCTTCCATTGCAAGTGCAGACATTGGGGGAATTGACCGAGGCTGTAAAGGAGTATGTGTCGGAGAGTGGGCCGATGCTTGAGGTGATAATGGAGACTCAATTAGGTTGTCCTGAGCGCTTGTCATCAATTGTCGTTTGCTACGTGGTGTCGCTTCTTTCTCATAATTGAATAATCTAGACTTGGTCTTTGAATAATCTGGTGTGTGCACACTTTAAAATTAAAATATACATTTCAAAGCATAAACTTTCATAATTTAGTCTAGTCCTCCTATTTTATAATGTGATTGCATTTAATATTTATTCATTCATTGATCTGTGGGTAAAGTTTTAGTTTATCCAAAATATTGCATTTTTTAAATGTTTAAATAATTGTAAAAATATGTATAAGCCCAGATCAATAGTTTCATTATTACTTACGATTAAGAAATAGTTAATGAGGAAAATAAATATTTATCTAAATGAATAATAAGTACAATGAAGTGATAGTGTAGCTTGCCTTTTTGTCCTCAAAATTGTTGAAGAAGCTGGTGGTGGTCCGCCTGACAAATTATCATCCGGAAGGGACAGTCTACGGTCCTGAATCACATATGTGTATAAATGTTGATTTTAGAATATCATGCGCAATCTTCTTGAAACATTAAGAAATGAAAGAGAATATTAAAATGCAATTTGATGACAATGAAATTCTAAATTAGAAAGCATCCTCAATATGTTTTTAAGTTAGTTTAAAGAACTTATATATTACAAAAGTAAGAATATGTCAAATTTAATGCATAAACACCATTCAAATTGCGGATTAAATAGATGTATTCCCGCAAAGGGAAACTTGGTGACTCTAGAATCAAGAATCTATATTCACAACATAAAATAAAATAATAGATATAGAAATCATCAATATATATATCTGTTTTGAGAAAATATCAAAACAGTAACAGTTGTAAAAGCTACTAATACAATGCTCTCACTAGTGAGCTAAGAAGGCTGACCGCGAGATTTTGAAGAGGAGTGTCAATATTTTTGTGATTAACTTGTTTTAAGATATCAAATTAATTTCATAATGCCAAGTTATCACAAAAAAGATGAACTTTACAGAAAAAGAAATAAGTATAAAATAGAGAGGAATAAAAAGAAATCCCTAAAGAACGTCCAAAACGGCAAAATTGAAAATGATGCAGGGAGCCTGCTCGTGGATGGTACTAGAAAGTGCAAAACTGCTACTCGGCTTGTCAAAAATAAAAAATAAAGAAATGATGTTAAGGTAAAATCAGTAACTGCAATTTCAACAATATATACATCCACCTCTTGCGGAAAACATTACAGAACAAGAGCTACGAATGTCCCCGAAAAGGTTTCTTAAGCATGCAGGTATTATGAAAAAAAAGACTGAAAGTAACTAATTGCTGAATATTGTTCTTTGTATTATTGTACCTGTAATCTCTTATTGTGATAGCATGAACCTTCAAAATATAAGTTTGACTTTGACCTTCGAAGAAGGGACGAGGTTCCTGGACACGACAAAATGTTGTTATGAGATAGACATTTGTGCCAAATCATTTCAAAATCCCTCAATGCATGACAAAGTTACAGTCTGGACATGATTGTTGAGTAAGTGAAGACAGACGGACATGAGCATTAGCCGCGACACATTGTCTTGATGTGGTAGACATTTGTGCCAAGTAATTTTAAAATCCTTCCATGCATGACAAAGTTACAGTCCGGACATGAATGTGTATCTTCATACTCTTTTCGAGAGAATGAGTACATTCAAATCATAAGTGTGACCTTGACCTTGAAGGTAGTGGCATGGGTCTTTGTCGCCACATGTTTTGATGTGGTATAAATTTTAGCCTAGTTATTTTAAAACCCTTCGATGCACGACAAAGTAACAGCCCGGACACGAATGTGTGCACCTATAAACTCTACCTTGACCTTGACCTTTGAGGTAGGGACGTAATTATTAGATGCGACACATGGCCTTGATGTTGAAGACATTTATGCCAAGTAATTTAAAAATCCTTCAATGCATGACAAGTTACAGCCCGGACACGATTATGTGTACCTTTTTACTCTAATTGCGATAATTTGAAACTTCAAAATGATAGTGTGACCTTGACCTTTGAGGTAGGGACGTGGTTCTTGGACGCGACACATTGTCTTGATGTGGTAAACATTTGTGCCAAGTTATTTCAAAATCCCTATATATATGACAAAATTACAGTCCGGACACGAATAGGTGGGACAGACGGACGGACAGACGATGCGATTATATGAGGCCTCCCTTCAAGGGGGCATAAAGACGGCACCAAGATACAGGTTTCTTGACAAAGAAAACACACAAGAAAGACGTTATTAATTAGAAAGGGTTTATTAAAAACACTAACATTGTAAGGGTAATGAAGTTATTGTATTAAAAAAAAACATTAACTGTTTCTGCCAGATATCTGGTAAGTACATAATCGAAACAGTTGTGACTTGTACATATTGTCAAAATAAAACAGATAAAACATAAATTTGAGAAGTATGAAATAGGTGTGTTTGGTAAATATATTAAAGTTTATAGTTTTAAAATTCCTTTTTTCCCCTAGAGAATAGACGAACGTACATAATCTCCGTTACATTTTGATTCAATGACATTTTCAAGCACGGAATCAAATAATATAAACCAGTTTATTGTACAGTAAGAATATTATGATATGAGAATTGTTCTGAAGTAGCAGTCCTTTCAGCTGGGTTCTACATGTTAATTTCAAATTATTGTATGGATCCCTCCTTACCATATGTGTGTAATATATTTCCATAACGTATGCAATCAATTCATATACGGAATTCTTTTTATTTATTTTTGTAAATAAATCAAATTTTAATGAAGGAATATGAGCAAAGATGATTGAAAATGTTCACGGGTCGGTTCAGATAATTATGACATGAAGATCTTGTAGTAAAATACGACTTTACACAAGATAAAGACGTCATACATTTAGATTGAAAATACAATGGGGAAAACTCTGGAGATCTAAATTCTCGCCTGCCTGCGGATTTAGGCCTCTTTGGCACCTAACACATACCCCCGGAAAGCGCTCCAAACTGGTAACCACCAGGCGGCAACTTCTGTGTTTGATATGTCCCCAAACATGGAATGAGACCCTTGCTGATCCCGGTGAGGAGTGTAGTCCAGAGTTAGCATTAGGTCCCAACTCGATATGCTATGGACCATACGGATTATCCAACAGACTTAACGGATCTCTAATACAGTTTGATTCTGAAGGAATATATAAACTGACACTGATCTAGTTAAACAGTTTAACGACTTGAATATTTACATACGATACCATGCTTTAATTTAAGCTTCGTTAAAGATAATGAACATATATATTTTGCAATTAAAATGGAAATATTTAAAGCATTTTGAGGAGCCATATAAATAAATTAAGACATGTACTTGACTTAACTTGCAATATATTCTTTTATATGACAAGCACAGTTTAAAGAATTACCATGTATCACTGTCTATTTTTAAATGAATTACTAGCTTACATTTTCTTCCTGTATGTCTATATTTAGGTATATTGAAGTTAATTTTATTACCTTAACAGCTGTGCATTGAATGTTACCTGATAACATTTTCGGAAAAAAAGTTCTCTTTAAATTTTGAGTAGATATTTCAAAGTGTGCATATGCTTTTTCCGAAAATTACTGAAAATAACACGTCTTTTGATACATTTAAGATTTTCTTCAAAAATAAAAAAGTGAATTCAAAAGGAATTGACATCGTTCATTTTATTTCTAGCGCCTCTGCAAGTTTACAGTATTTTATTACATTCTTTTTCCTCAATACTGAAGGCTGTACTAACTGTTAAAAAGAATCAAATCAAGCGTTATTTTAAACAAGAGCCGTTGGCAGGACAGCTCGACTACTCAGAGTGATTGTAGGTGAAATCTGAAAAATGTAGAATTTTCTAAGATCAAAAACGACGATTACTCTGTCAAAATCCATGTTACATATATGGGCATTAGACAGTGACCTCCTATTATTCTCTTTAATAAGTGCGTGAAGTTATAACCCATTCCCTTCAATAGTTTTGAAGATATCAACTATCAATTACAAGCAAACATTAAACCAAAGTGTGAGGCGACGCCGACGCCGGTGTAAGTACAACAGTTCTCCCTATTATTCGAAAAGTTAGGCTAAAAGGTCAAACAATGATTTAAGTTATGTGATGAGTGAAACGTAAAGTAACAGTTAACGAGTACTTCTGTATTTAGATAGGAAGTTTACTAATAATAACTATCATATCCATACGGTGATCTTTTAAAACTGTTTATGTTAATATAAAATATCAGGAAGTGCATTCCTAGGCATTCGTTTTATAAAAGTGGCATTATAAACAGTTTTTCACATTTAACAATTCTTGTTCATGGGCGAGTGAACGCGATTTTTACAGTCTTTATGTTGAAGCGTCAAAATATTTTTATTTAAAGATATATTACCTCAAACATACAAACTAACCATTTTGTGAAAGATAAACAAACTTAACAATCGGCAACTTTTGTAATAACTTAAACGCAATAAAATCTGACACAACTGTTAAAGTAATAGAAAAAAATCTTTTATTCTATGTTTATCAACGAAATACTGGATTTTATCACAAAAATCACATTATATGAGTGATATAACTTTATCGATTATTTTGTTGGCGATTCCGTTATGGACTTTAATTGTAATTTAAGTTCGTGATTTCGTATAATAAATTTGTAAATTTAAATAAAAATTGATATTTGCGTTTTGCCCTTATGGCATACTTCAATTAAATATTTGAAATACACACCATTTAGATGTGCAACGTTCAATTAGCCGATCAACGTATGACCTCATTTTCTTACCGTGCGTCTGTGAAAACTGCGTTTCAATGAAAATAGATAATTTTTTACAGATAAAGCAAAAAAGCAAAGTCTGATATATATCATATTGGATCATAAAATGTACGTATCTTTTCGCTTTGCATACAAATGAACCTGAAATACTACATGTTATATTACACGTATCCGTATACAAATACATGTTATACTTATACAATCTTAGAAATTATCATATTTGTGTTTAAAAACAAGTTTTGCGTATAAAACTTACAAACATTTACTAGTAAATTAAGTGTGAATGTTTACTATCTAAGATTTGCTGGTCAGTGTTATGCAATTATCGGTGATTTTTAAATACAGGATGCAGATGTAACACTAATAAACATTTTTTTTTTTTTTGCTAAATTCACCTCTCCTTGTTTATCATGTATAAAATATATATATAGAATTGTTGATACAATTACAGGTGTAGTACTCATTAAAGTTTACATATCTTGCTATTACATGTTATAGGTATATCGCTTACAAAACTGTATGCTATTTATTTTTTAATGTATGTCATATGTATAATATTTATAAGAAAATTACATATCGTTGCTATCCAAATAATTGTAACAGATGTAGCTTATAAAAATGAACACATTATTGATATCTTAGTAAAAATGTATACATACCGTTACTGTCATTTATATACGTACTAATACCAAATAATACTGGCA